GTCATATTTTTGATATGCAAGAAAAACATCCGAATTTTCAATATAATTAGCTTTTTTTTGATTATTTTTACTCTCTGTGACGTTTCAAAATATGCTCATTTGATGCAGCGTGAAAAACTGCATTGAATGAGTATACTTTCAAACATCTTACATAAGGATGCTAATGGAAAACAGCTAAATTTAGTGTAAAAAAGACCTTTTTTTTTCACTATAAAAAGTGTAAAAAATGTGAGTTTTTTGGTACATTCTTTGGACAGTTTTCAGTGAATTTTAACCCAACAACTCTTTTTAAAATTTTTTTTGTATATACAGTTTTGTAGAGCTCAATTAGCTCTATCGAACCATGTAAAAATATCCAACAAAAAAATTTTAATCCATTTTTCAATTACTGGCACTTTACTTTTCCACCCCAAAAAAGTATAAAATTTCTGAAAATTTATTTAAGTCGACATTAAAAGGTTTTCATAATCCTCATCATTTAGTACCAATAAACCCCATTTTTCATAGGCTTTCATTTGGTGTAAAATTCATCATATCTTCTATTTGAAATTATAGCGGTACCCCCCTTGAATAATATTATTTCCCACCCTGTATACAAAGTTCTAATAGAATTTTTAAAGCGTGTTCTGTGTTTTTCTATAAATGTTGTGAACTTCTTTTGACGTGTGGTCTCTAAAAGAATTGAATATGATATCATCTGACTTCTCGAAGTAAAACAATTTCGGGGTTAGATGAAGTGAGAATAAAGAAGAATGTTTCATCATGTTACTGGTGTGTAACAGTATAACATTTATTTTGCTTCCGATATATATTAGTTAAAGTGCACTTGGATAGATAATTGTCAGCTTTTACAATCTCTTGCTGAAAAGCAAGGTTTATCCTAAACTAATTTTCAAAGAGGCCGATTAGTTTCTTTGACTTTTACGATTGAAGAAATGAAAGTTTCAGTCAATTATTATGATGAAGCTAGTAGATCAATTCTTTCAATACCCAAGTGAAGAATGTACATCTGTCCAAAACAGTCGAGGGTCAAGTGAGTCGAACCGACGAACGTTACTTGTTTTGTAGCAGTCAGTTCTTCGAACGAGTTCTCTGAAAAAAAGACAAATTTTAGTGGTTTGACTGTAAATCTATGTATATAACTTTTTTCACATAATCTAATACATCATATACAAAAAGATCATTTATTCGGATGCCAGTTTAACAAGTTATAATATCATCAAGTAGCTTCTAATGTTCCATATCTGCGTCTCTTTATCATTTGATATCAAGGTAATGAGTAGTCTTTAATTTATTTACATGAATACATTTCTATCATAAATATAATCAGGAATGTAGTGAAAGAAAAAAAGTGGGGTGGTGCGCACCACCCCGCATCCCGTGAACGCCACATCCCTGATAACTAAGGAATACGATAAAATCCTATAAATATTTCTCCAACATAGCTTTTTATATTCGGATTCAATGCGCCATAAAAGATAACCTATAATGATTCAGAATAAGCAAAAATTAAAAATGACAAAACGAAAAAATAAAATGTTACTATGTTTTGCATTTTTCTCAAAATCAGTTTTTGACCAAAAAAACTAAGTGTTTCCCCTTTTTCTCCAAAACGGTTCGATTGATCGGGCTAAAATATTTTTGTCAGTACTTCGGCTAAATTGGGGTGCATGTTTTTTTTTTCAAAATGTTTTTTCTACGAAATTTGATAGCGTCTAGAAAACTCCTAACATCTAAAAGAACATGATTTTTTAGGGTGTCTTGAGTATTTCGCTTCTCCTGACGTCTAGAATCGGTATTTTTCAAAGAAAAAACAGCATACACCTCAATTTGGTTCTGGTTTTCACAAAAAAAAATTCAGCTCTAAAAAATGAAGTATCGATTTTTCGCGAGGGGGAAAACTTTTAGTCATTTTTGGCCCTTGTGACTCCCATATCTCCCAGAAAGAAGCATTTGAGAACTTTGAGTCTATGACAACTTTTGTTCTACTCATCGAGATTCATCTACCGTGAGAGTTTCATAAAATTTCGCCTGGCCATTCTTGAGAAACACCGGAAATTGGGGAGGTCACCTTACTATCAATAGAACAGAAAAAAAATTCATTTTACGCGCAAGTGTCGCGCGTAAAACTGTTGTGCGCGGAAGTGTCGGCACAAAAGTGTCGACATGAAAGCATCGGCATGAAAGTGTCGGCATGAAAGTGTCGGCGCGGAAATGTAATGCACGCAAGTGTCGTGTCACCGCAATACACCCATTACGTCGATTATGGTCATTACGACCGCTATGACTAGTTTGAACACTTCTAATGCGTGTTAAAAAAAATACAATGGTCGTGGGTAGTGTTGCAATAACACAAGAACAGAAAGAGCTACAGAGCTGTGGTTTTCATCAGTCGAAAGAAGAGACATTGGAACTTCTTTTTCTCCAATATTGTATAAGACGAAATCATTTTTTAAGCCAATCATTTCTGCAAAGAATTGCAAAAAATGCATGAAAACGGTCTGCCATTCCGATTAAATTTTGGTTTTGATATGCGATTTAGATAGACGGACTTCAGATCTATAGCTTAAGATATAATTTGAATGATTATCTTCACACATCCTAATGTTAAGCCAATAAAATTGTCTATTTAGTCCCTCGAAAAATATGAATTTCTCTGAATTTTTAAGCAAATTTTCGTACTTTTTGTCAAAATTTGATCTAAACGACAGATCATTTTTATACATTTTTTCAATGTTTTGTAAAAATAGTTGTTTTTAAATTGATTTCGTCTTATAGAATATTGAAGAAGAAGACGTCTTGATGTCTTCTCTTTCGATTGGTAAAAACCGCAGCTCTACAGCTCTTTCCATTCTTGACTTATTGCAAAAATACCCACGGCTATTATTTTTTTAAACAGGCATTACCACTGATACCACTATGATTACTACGACCATTACCGCCATTACGACATTACGGCATGAACGTAATACCTGAACAGCTCACTATAGTTTTCGGGAAACTCAAATGAATTTCTTGGAAATTGAAATAACACATCATGTCTAGAATGGCCAATTCCACGTGTAGCCACTGACTGAAATACCATCTCGAACAACTTTTGGCGATGAATATTTTGCCGCTTGTTGGGGTAATTCTTCACCACATTCATAGCAAAAACAACGTTGTGTTTGATGTGTATTGAGTATTGGTCCATGTTTGCCAGACAAAACATCAGCCAGAAATTCTGGCTTATGTACACGTAGACCAGTAGTAACAACATCTAAAAAGTTATTTTCTCTTCCACATTTACGACAATATCTTTCGATTGTTTTGATCATAGCAGATGTTCCGAAAAAGCCACGCTTTACTTGTAACAAATCTTCAACTTTAGCCATATCTTCTTTTGATGTTTCGATCAACATGAAACCACCAGACATATCATTGAATTTTTCATCCATAATTTTCCATTCTTCTTCACTCACCGCTCTTGTCATATTTTTAGTATCATAACCATCTGGTTTCGACCAATTATCGCCAACTGCTTTACGAAGTAATTCCATTTTTTTTTCTCACCAGTTTTTCTTTTAAATGAAATCTAAATTGATTGCTTAGTTAGATGTATGTCAGTATGATATATAAAGCGTGTTCGAGTACCTGTATAATAGAATTTTTTGAAGAGTAATGAAGCTGAAGCAAAAGAATAGTATTTGTATAGGTTTACACTTCCTCTCTAAAAGGTAATGCTTTCTCTTTAAAAGTTATGATTCCTCTCGAAAGGTTACACGTATCACTTCTCTATGCGGATCCTACCTAAGTAAGTAATAAGGAGGAAGTGTTATATTTATCTCCTGATTTACATGATATTTTTTTATTATCAAGTTTCTTTTAGACTATAGTGATGATGTACATATACTTGTTCCGACACATGATACAATCTGTCGAAAGAAAAATTATATCTATTACACATTTTTCCAACTATTTTTTTTCAGTGTAATGCAAATTTCACAATGTAACCTTCAAGTATATTTTATGTGTATACTTGTTAAATTTTATGTGACTAAAACGAGTTCAGTTGAATAATATTGAATGGGGGAAGAGTGATCCAAGAAGATCTTTACCTTATCTTCCACTCATTCAATAATTAGAACGACAGAAAAGGGTTATCTTCTCGATTTTCATTTTCTTCATTGAGTACCAGTTATCACTTCCTGAAAAGATGAAATCAAGCGTACAGATAAGACAAACAAAAATCATCTTTCCATTAAGTAGTAAAAGCCTAGAGATAATACGATAAATTGAATGGGTGTATAAATACGAATGCTAGTCTCTCTGTCTGAAAAGTCCTCACGGCTAAAATGGAGACGACAGTAATTGATGCAATTCTCAAAGCATGTAACGGCACTAGTGATCTATCTACTTTTGTGAAACACGATCTGAAAGGAGGGTTGAAGTGTTTAGGGGCAGAAACTTGGACCCACTCCTCTCCCCCCACAGACCGTGACAGAGAACCCGGGTACCCATCACAGACCGTGACAGAGAACCCGGGTACCCATCACAGACCGTGACAGAGAACCCTGGTACCCATCACAGACCGTGACAGAGAATCCTGGTACCAATTACAGACCGTGACAGAGAAACTATAGTTCTAAAGCATCAGATATACGGTCAGCTACAAATGTGTCGTCAGGAAATGGAACAAAAGGGTTTCCATTTAATTAGTAACAATATGCCCATCGTGTTTCACATTTTTAATCCCGCAAGAGATTGCGCTAACAGCTTTTTTTTTAAATTGTCGTTAAATGTTCTTTTTTTGGTTACATGGAGCGTATGAATGTGAGTTAATATATAAACTATTTTATAGGAAAAGATGTTTAGAGAAGATGTTCAATCGAAATTCGGACATAATTTTCTTCAGATTTCCTTTTCTAGTCTGTAATAGTTCATGTTCTTTGCAATTTTTTCTTGATTGTTTTTATTGTGTTGCAACACAAAAACAGTGAGCTCATAACTATCTGCAAAACCTCCTTGTTGCATTATTCGTATGGCTTCCTCACAATATACTAATGCACGATTAAAATCCAACATTTTGTAATGAATCAAAAGGGACATTATTACTTAGCAATAAAATACAAGCCGTTCCATATTTTAGCTGCATTAGAAATTCCACTGGCATAGATTTCTGATGAATATCGCGGTTTGAGAGTTTTAGTATTTTTCAACTTTTGACATATTTCATCAGTTTCTACAGTAGAGATCAGTTAGGTCTTATCCAATGCATGGCACTTGTTAAACTGAAAAACCAGATTTCGTCTCTATCTCACAGTTTTACATAAAACTTTGTAGGAGCATAGTTATATTTGAATAGACAAAATGTTTCAAAAAAGTATTTCCAATGCTGGTGATGATTCGCCCGGAAATTCTATGTACTGTCATAGGCAACCAAAGCTAAACATTTTTGGATTAAAAATTAGAGAAAATATTTTTTCAATCTTTAAAATAAAAATCATGGTTAATAATACAATGGATGGCAATCAATTATTACACACGAAAGATAATGTAACTCTTCAACCATATTGGCTAGTAATCATTCACATGTTAGTTTTGCAATTATTACAACGTTCGTGGTATCGGTGTCGATATAGCATATGGCTCACATTCACTGAGCTTACGAGGGAACATATCCAACTGTCGGACACCGTTCGAGCCCATATTTTGACTATGGGTAGAACTCAATAAAACTAAGAAAAATCTAAAAGAATTCGGGGTCATGACCTACACTGTAAAAAAAAACCGTAGAATAAAAAACGAAAAAAGGGTTTATGAAAGTGCAACGTGTAGCAAACCCTTTTCAACCGTTTATCAAGGAGTCATAAACGC